TAATATTTTGGCCCAAGCCCACTCCTTAGGCCTCCGAGGCAATCTACCATCCTTTAAGAACTTCTTAACTGACAGACATTTCTGTGTTGGGGTTAATAATATGCTCTCCCTGGACTTTGTCCAAGCTGAAGGTGTCCCCCAGGGATGTGTTCTGAGCATAACACTTTTTCTCCTTGCTATAAATGATTTGGCCTCTAGTCTTCCATCCAATATTTGTTCATCACTATGCTGATGACTTCGCTATAGCTTGTGCAGGCGATGACTGTCACCTCATTGCAGTTTCTCTCCAGCATGCGGTCGACTGTGTTTCCAATTGAGCCACCACGCATGGGTTTAAATTTTTCTAGTACTAAACCTCGCCAAATTGCTTTCACTAGACGGTCTGTCATCTCTGATCATCCAATGTACCTCTATGGCTCAGGTATCCCAGAACGTGATACGGTCAGCATGACTCACAAAATCGTAATGATACGATTGCAAACAAACCATACCACGGGCGGGGATAGAACCCGCGATCAGAGACTGATCGCGGGTTCTATCCCCGCCCTTGGTATGGTTTGTGATACGGTCAGGTTTCTAGGCCTTCTGTTTGACCGTAGGTTATCCTGGAAACCTTATATTACCTCTCTGAAGGCAACTTGTCACAGCCGGCTGAACCTTCTTAAAACCCTCACTCGTCTTTCATGGGGAGCTGATCGTAGAACTCTTTCACCTACATTTGGCCCTAATTTTATCAAAACTTGATTATGGTGAACAGAACTATTCAGCGGCCTCTCCTCCTACTTTCTCTAGCCTTAACCCATCCATCACCAGGGATTACATTTATGCCTTGGTGCTTTTCACTCTTCACCTGTTGGAGCCCTTGTGGTTTAGTGCTTCTTTTTGATTATTATTATTATAATCTTCACCTGTTGAGAGTCTATGCAGAAGCAAATATTCCATCCTTGTCTGATCGCCCCACTGCTCCGCTGTTATCCGTAACCTATTACTTATCCACTTCCCTTTTGCCACCTGATGCCCTCGCTTCCTTCCTGCCCTGCAGCGCTGTATAGCCCTTGTGGCTTAGCGCTTCTTTTTGATTATAATAATAATAATTGTCTGATCGCCGTGATGCCTATTATGTTCGCTATCGTGATCTCTGCAATCCTTTCATATATAGAATAGTCACTGATTTTAGTAGACATTAATAAATAAATAACAAAAAGGCACAATACCGTGACTGGAACGATACACAAATAACCCGCACATAAAAGACAGAAGCTTACGACGACGTTTCGGTCCGACTTGGACCATTGACAAAGTCACACTAACAGAGGTGGAGCAGGACGGATATATATAGGCAGGAAGAGGTCATTGCCCCTGTTTACTCCGTCTCTTTTCACCTACATTCGCTCTTGCTGTATAGTCCTTGTGGCTTAGCGCTTCTTTTTGATTATAATAATAATGTATTCGCTCTCGTCTTCCCTTCAGTTACCACCTTTCTATGTTCATGTAGCATCTCACTTTTCCCTACCCTCTTGAAGTTACAGCTGTTCATGTCTGTTCTTTCTCACTCCCATGCGTGAAAGCCCAACTGCCTACGGTAGCTTCCAGCTTTCTTTTTCTTGACCACTTCCGCTCTCATTCTCATGCCATCGCAGTGTACACAGATGGTGCTAAGTCTTCTGATGGCGTCGGATTCACAGCAGTGTTTCTGGACAGTGTCGTGAGAGGGCATTTTTATATCCTTGGCTAGCATTTTTACTGCTGAATTGTATGCCATTCTTGCAGCACTTATCTGTATTGCCATTTGTGGTTGTTTCAGACTCCCTTAGTGCTATACAGGCTATATGAAAATTTGATACACCTCACCCCCTAGTTCTCCATATCCAACTTTGGTTACACCGTATCTCTACCAAGCACAAAGATATTGGTTTTTTTTTGTTGGGTCCCTGGTTATGTTGACCTACAGGGCAAAGAACAGGCAAATACTGCTGTGCGGTCAGCATTACATGACCTCCCAGTTTCATATAGGGGTGTTCCATTTATGGACTATTGTGCTGTAATAGCTGCCCACCTTCACACCCGTTGGTCTAATCTACTCGGTAACAAACTTCTTTCTATTAAACCGAGTATAGGTTACTGGCTTGTCATCCATGGTGAGGTTGGGAGACTACTCTCTCCCGTCTTTGCATTGGCCACACTCGTCTTACTCGTGGGTATCTCATGGAGAGGCGCCCTGTTCCTCTCTGTGAGAAGTGTCAGGTTCCAGTATCGGTTAGCCACATTCTGTTAGACTGCCCTCTCTATCAATGAGCACACAGAATTTAACTCTGTCGTCGTCTCCGCTCTACTATCTCTTTATCTTCCCTTCTTGCTGATGGACCCTCCTTTAATCCTGACTCTCTCATTGACTTCTTGACAACAACTGACTTACTCCACAAACTCTGATGATGATATCTCTTGCTACCCTCTACCCCTGCCCCGCTGTTCTCCGTAACCTACTAATTATCCCTCTCCCTTTTGCCACCTGATACCCCTGCTTCCTTGCAGCGCTGTATAGCCCTTATGGTTTAGCGCTTCTTTTTGATTATAATAATCCAGTAAGAGATCCTGAGGCACAAATACAACCCATCAGGAATGAGATAGTTTAGAGTAGCTAGGAGGCTAAAGATTATAGTTTAAGTAAGATGACGGCCAAGTAAATATGGGTTTGTCTATTAGCTCCCCCAAGATACGCTAAAGTTTTAAGGAGGTTCAGAAAGGTTTCCATGACATTCAACAATCTAACTACTAAGAAATTTCACTACCTTCATATGGGTGTAAAATGGTTTGAGGAATAATAGGGTGTCTTGTAAAAGTTAACTGGTGAGTTTTTAGCAACAAAAAAGAATTTAAACCCATGAAAGATGGCTCAATAAGGAACCTTCCTTGAAGGAAAATTAGTCAAAGTTTATATATGAGGAACTAATATTTTTGACAGGATTTTACCACAAACTGCATTCATGGTTGGGAGGGGTTAGTGCTAAACCTGAAGGGTCAATACAGTGCCTAGGGTAATGGGAATCATTCAGGTTCAGTCCAAGGGAAGCACAGGTACAATTCCTAAAACTTTGGTTATAACCATATTTACACAAAAAAAGTTGTATATAAAATAACTTTGTTACTTATCATTTTTTTTTACTTAAGATGCACAATTCCAATATTTGTAAAGCCACTTATACATGGTTGTAAAGAATCTACCGACAAAAGCATTTAATGTCTTCATGAAATATTAAGAAAAAATTTACTTTTTACTATGCATGGAGCTTTAAAGTACTTTTTATCTTCATGAAGACACCACTCTTTCTTGGTCCACTTCACATACTATGTGCGAGTGCCCAAGGAGGGAAATAATCTGCGTGAAACCACTCTAGAATCATTTTAGTAGTTAAATTCCCTACACACAACTTCAATATGTATACTGAATAAAGTCAAATTATGATCTTAATAAAAAATTTTGTTACTCCTTTCACGCAAATTTTACCTTGCTCCCAATAATGTGGTCCTGGTGTCTTGGTCCTCTAGGCTTGACACTGACTGTAGTCAACACTTCATTAATGTAGTTAATACCTCTGCACAGAAAATAAAGTGTCCACCCCAGGACTTTCACAGATTTGGGTGTTGGTGACTATGCTAGTGGTAGACACTAAGCCAGTTACTACAAATAAATGCTCTGTAGGAGATGACAATGTCATTACTTCTGGCTAAGAGACTTCAAGTGTCTACCTATCATGTCATCACCCAATTTAGTACAAAACATTGATGGCAAAAGCCACCGACCTTTCAAGGCAATACAAAAGTATATGAAAATACACTACTGTCACAGTATGTTAATTGCCAAAAAATAAAACATTCCACTAAATATGTACGTGGTAGATACCTGCCATTCCACCTGCTCACAACAAAACAGGCTGTGAACAATCAAACTTAAAAATCCATCTGAGGTGAACACCTGTCAAATCTGGCAAATTAATCATGTTCCCACACCATGTAGACATGGTACAATCAGGCAGGTCCATAATCACTAACCACACAGCACTACTGCAGGTAGTCTTAATCAAATTGTTACGTGCTAGTATGTGATGAAAAAAAATTAATAGGTATGTTGGTCCACATAATTCTATCTTCCCAGATTTTTTAAAACCTCCACTTCCCAATGATTATAATTTAGAATTAATAATTGTGCCGAGTGCCTGCACTCTGAACAGGGGTGGGGATGTTGAAGTTTGGAGAATTATTTGAATAGTGATATCTGTACACTTTTGGCAAGACAGCTAATGAATGAATGGTGAATAATTTTCTTTTCTTGGTCTACCTTGGTGGGATATAACTATTGTTGAAAAAATATAATGTTTATAATACTACATATACACTTCATTTTTTTTTTACATTACTGGCAGTCTCTCACCAAGGTAGGACGACCAAAAAAAAATTCATTCAATTGCTGTCGTGCCAGAAGTGTACCAACATCACAATTCAGATGGCCCTCAACTACCACAACCCTACCAAACCTTCAGGGTGCAGGCAATGCCCTTTCCACCTCCAGGATTCCAAGTTCAGTTAGCTAATTTTCCTTTTTTTTTTTTTAATACCTTCATAAATGCTACACACACATATATATGTATGTGTGTGTATGGGAGGGGGGCTGAAAGGGTTACGGTGCAGGACTCTAGTCTGGCTAACTGGTTTCCCCTGTATTTTTTTTTATCACGTTCACCGTCTCCCACTGAGGCAGGGTGACCCAAGAAAGAAACACACTCATTCACACATAATCACTGTCTTTGCAGAGGTACCCAGATATGACAGTTTAGATGTCACTCCAAACATGATTCTATTATATTTTTCTCAACCATGGGCCTGCTTGATGCAACTTTCTCGGCCTTTTGAAAATTAATTGAATGGTTAAAATCTCACATGATTAAACAGAGCATTTAAATTCTTGTCTGTCAAAGTGGTTATTCTGCATATTGTGATATCACATGTTTTTATTTTATTATCACACTGACCGATTCCCACCAAGGCAGGGTGGCCCGAAAAAGAAAAACTTTCACCATCATTCACTCCATCACTGTCTTGCCAGAAAGGTGCTTTACACTACAGTTTTTAAACTGCAACATTAACACCCCTCCTTCAGAGTGCAGGCACTGTACTTCCCATCTCCAGGACTCAAGTCCGGCCTGCTGGTTTCCCTGAACCCCTTCATAAATGTTACTTTGCTCACACTCCAACAGCACGTCAAGTATTAAAAACCATTTGTCTCCATTCACTCCTATCAAACACGCTCACGCATGCCTGCTGGAAGTCCAAGCCCCTCGCACACAAAACCTCCTTCACCCCCTCTCTCCAACCCTTCCTAGGCCGACCCCTACCCCGCCTTCCTTCCACTACAGACTGATACACTCTTGAAGTCGTTCTGTTTCGCTCCATTCTCTCTACATGTCCGAACCACCTCAACAACCCTTCCTCAGCCCTGTGGACAACAGTTTTGGTAATCCCGCACCTCCTCCTAACTTCCAAACTACGAATTCTCTGCATAATATTCACACCACACATTGCCCCCAGACATGACATCTCCACTGCCTCCAGCCTTCTCCTCGCTGCAACATTCATCACCCACGCTTCACACCCATATAAGAGCATTGGTAAAACTACACTCTCATACATTTCCCTCTTTGCCTCCAAGGACAAAGTTCTTTGTCTCCACAGACTCCTAAGTGCACCACTCACTTTTTTTCCCTCATCAATTCTATGATTCACCTCATCTTTCACAGTCCCATCCGCTGACACGTCCACTCCCAAATATCTGAATACGTTCACCTCCTCCATACTCTCTCCCTCCAATCTGATATTCAATCTTTCATCACCTAATCTTTTTGTTATCCTCATAACCTTACTCTTTCCTGTATTCACCTTTAATTTTCTTCTTTTGCACACCCTACCAAATTCATCCACCAATCTCTGCAACTTCTCTTCAGAATCTCCCAAGAGCACAGTGTCATCAGCAAAGAGCAGCTGTGACAACTCCCACTTTGTGTGTGATTCTTTATCTTTTAACTCCACGCCTCTTGCCAAGACCCTCGCATTTACTTCTCTTACAACCCCATCTATAAATATATTAAACAACCACGGTGACATCACACATCCCTGTCTAAGGCCTACTTTTACCGGGAAAAAATTTCCCTCTTTCCTACATACTCTAACTTGAGCCTCACTATCCTCGTAAAAACTCTTCACTGCTTTCAGTAACCTACCTCCTACACCATACACTTGCAACATCTGCCACATTGCCCCCCCATCCACCCTGTCATACGCCTTTTCCAAATCCATAAATGCCACAAAGACCTCTTTAGCCTTATCTAAATACTGTTCACTTATAGGTTTCACTGTAAACACCTGGTCCCCACACCCCCCCCACCTTTCCTAAAGCCTCCTTGTTCATCTGCTATCCTATTCTCCGTCTTACTCTTAATTCTTTCAATAATAACTCTACCATACACTTTACCAGGTATACTCAGCAGACTCATCCCCCTATAATTTTTGCACTCTCTTTTATCCCCTTTGCCTTTATACAAAGGAACTATGCATGCTCTCTGCCAATCCCTAGGTACCTTACCCTCTTCCATACATTTATTAAATAATTGCTCCAACCACTCCAAAACTATATGTTTACTGTGACCTTATTGCATCTTTGCTGTTTGAAGTGATATTTAAACTGTTGTATCTGCGTGCCTCTGCAAACACTGATTATGTGAATGATGGTGAAAGTGTTTCTTTCTTTTTTGGGTCACCCTGCCTTGGTGGGAGACAGCCAAAGTGTTGAAAAAAAAAATACACTTCCATGGATTAGTGGAACGGAATTCTTCCGTAAGCTCTGTGTCGTAAGAGGCAACTAACATGCCGGGAGCAAGAGGCTAGTAACCCCTTTTCCTGTATACATTACTAAAGTTAGAAAGAGAAACTTTAGTTTTTCTTTTTGGGCCACCCTGCTTCGGTGGGATGTGGCCAGTTTGTAGAAAGAAGATATATATATATATATCTTAGTGTATGTTCATGTATTTGCATGGGCATGTGTATGTACTCATCTATATGTGGCTGCAGGGGTAGAGTCCAAGTTCCTGGCCCCACCTCTCAACTCGCCAGATTCTCTCTCCTAGCCTCAAGAGCCTGATCGTAACTGCTCTTAAAGCCATGTATCGAGCCTGCCTCCACCACTTCAAGATCATTCCACTTTCCAACCACCCCAAGACTGAAGAAATACTTCCTGATATCCCTGTAACTCATCTGTGTGCATATTTATTTATCTTAGTGTATATGTAAAACACACACATACACTGACAATAGCTTGTCCATATATAAAGAAATTTAGATAAACTTATGAAAATTTTCAGAAGTAAAATAATTCCATCAAATCTTAAGATTAAGTTTTTTGCGTATTTGAATTTTAAGGTTTCAAGACTTTTTTCTTAGTTTTGGTAACAATGTTGTCATGTGTATAACCTTTAAGAATTTGCAAAGAACATTCATAAAATAAGGGACATGTGTATTTCCTGTATGTCATGTGTTCTAAAACCACTATGCAAATAAAAAATATTGCTGTTCTCATAACTTCCACTTAACTGGTTTTTGGGAAATGGAGAATATTGTTTATAACATTTTTTCCCATGCAACAGGAAAACTTGATTTGTCAGTCTACATGAAATTTGATTTAAATGATTCACCTTACAAATTAGTTATTTCACATTTAAAATGTGATCCTGTATCAGCTAAAGCACAAAATCTGTCCTATAACCAAAATGACACACTTTTTACATTATATTACAGATTTAAAATTTACATACATCTCTAAGATTGGGTTTGATACATTTAGTGAAATTCACTTTTGCCTGGCTATTCAATATCCAGCACAATCTGTAACTGTCAACATATACTTTCAATATTAAAAATGCACACACATTCATTTGTACTGCCCAATAAGAATGTCTTAAGACTAATATAATTTCTAAAATCATTATGACCAGCAACCATTCAGTGTGGCTCAAGTTCTGGCTGAACCATAGGTCAATCAATACTCACTTCCATGAATACCAGTAGCTCCTTGTTGATATCCATTGCTTCTTTAGGATCTCAATACTACAATGAAATGTCATCTCATTCTACAGCATACACAAGAGATTTTTGTTTGATCTGTACAAGAATAAGATTCTTAGTCTTTTAAGACAGACTTATTTATGGCATGGCTCAAGTTTAAGCTTATGTCAAATATATCAACCATAATCACAGTAAGAGACATATTACATCTGATCAATAAAATTAATTTATGTACTGATACAGGATATGTTCTATTTCACCACAAGCTGATATAAAACATTTCAGTATACAAAAACAAACTTAGAATTTATCCACATTAATGACAAGTGCACCAATGAGCAATTGCATTGTTTGTCAATTAAAATTAATAGTTTAATACTGAGCAAAATTAAAACTATAATAAACTTAAGGTAGTGAAAAAAATATATTTTTGTGCATAAAATGATAAACTTTATAAAAATTTGCAAAACAGACTTTCATATGTAAATTTAATTCTCTAGCAGAATAAGAATATTATGTTAATATAAACTTTTTTGGGAATGGGAGGACTGTCAACAAATTAAGTAAGAAGACATTATATGCTGAGCAAACCTGTGTTTAAAGACTTGACAAAGCTCATCACCAAGCAAAACATTACTTTTAACTTAAGGAGCAAGAGTCAACCCAGGCATGGCAGTCCTAAAATTATGATATTGTGAATAATTTTATTTAAAATAGAGGTTTGCTCTGCATACAGTGTCTTACAAGAAAATAAACTTGAGTTCTACATCAACCATAAAATACTGCATCCTGCAGGTAGAAATGCATTTAATTTCAGGAGTTTTGGACAGGGAGGGGGTTATTGCACATAGAACAGTTTGTAAATACTGTACAAGATACAGCCTCTTGGCACCAAAAAAATTCATCCATATATGAAGATAAACTAATAAAAACACTTTCATAAGTGCATATAAGTTCTGGCCTGAAGAGTTTATTACATAAAATGCCAAAGATATGATGCATGCCATTATTAAATTTAATGAAAATTCACATTATACTGTACACATCTATAATTTAGGGCTAAAACATGAAGCACATTTTCTTTACTCTTTGTTTACCATATAGGTACTTCTAAAAATTTCATCTTTTTTAATAAACTGATGTGTGCTGTTGTATAGCTGTGTTCCATGACAAAAACATCAAGCTGTTTTTTGAGCAGTAGACTATCATTTATAAAGGCTTAAAACAATAAATATTGAACTCTTAACCATATGAAAAAAGACTGTGCAACATATTCATAGCATGTGGCACCTCCAACCTACATTCTACCTGGCCTCGGCATCTTTTAACCTTTATATATGTACATTAAATTACAGTACAGCATCTCTAACTGGGCTTTAAACAATAAATTCACTAATGAAGAAAAACTTCTATGAAAGACCTTCTTGTGTTCAATCTAGGCCACATCACAAGACAGTCATATACACAAGGCAAAGTCTGGCAACACTTCATATAACTGTCACAAAAAGCTACCCCTTTGTATTTTTTAATTTTAATGATAGTGAAACTCTACATTTATATTCCTCAGCTCATGCAAGACTACTGATACAATTATTTCCTATTTACATTGCTAATATGGATTTCCACTTTCCCAGCAGCATTATTGGCTAAATATTGCCAAAATAAAATAATTTTACAATTTTTGCCAGGTGTATAATTCTCATGGCCATTAATTTTTCAAGGCATTGATAAAATATATAGAATAAAAAGATAAAAGAATAGTCAGCTAACACTGAACACAATATGTATGCAATAAAAATACAAAGCGGTGAAAGATTTTCTTAATGGAACTTCAATCTTTACTCCACAATAAAACTATTAAGGACAACCACAATTTAATCCTACAAAGGACACCTATCAAAAATAAAAGTAAACATTTACTATTGTCTTAAGAGAGTTGATGTACTTGTCACACCTAATGTGGTACAAATAATACCATTACTGATATTTCCAGCACAGTTAAGTCTTGTGCAAAACAGGTGTGCTCAAACTTGCCGTCTGTCAAACATCCAGAAATTTTGAAGACGTCCATCAAGCTCTTCTTTGAAGTGTACTGTAACCATCTTGATACATTAGCCCTAGCTTCACACTGTCAGAAATACACACCAAAAAAACTTGATTATGGTTATGTTAAACACTCATTTAATATGTATTTTTATGCATGCAAGTCTTTTTGTAAATCATATTGACAGTAATTTGTGAAAACTTAACTGAAATTAAGCCTGGAATGCATTAGAATAATGTTACACAATTAATATGATCTTTCTGAAACCAGAAATGTAGATTTATTACAAGTAAATTATTCAACTATGTTAAAATCTTTTTCACTAAATATTTAAAGTACTGTATACAACTTATAAAATAACCGTGTTTCGAAGAATATTTAATTATGCTTAAGATATTGATTACTGACAATGTTAATCCTTTAAAAATCATTCCTCACTCATCTAGAACATTCTAGGCTCTCTCATTTCTTTGTATCAATAACCTGGAAACAAACACATATGCAGCTTAATGTGATCCTTTATTGACAACGTTTCGCCCACACAGTGGGCTTTTTCAAGTCACACACAGATTTTCTTAATGGAATTTCAATCTTTACTCCACAATAAAACTATTAAGGACAACCACAATTTAATCCTACAAAGGACACCTATCAAAAATAAAAGTAAACAGTTACTATTGTCTTAAGAGAGTTGATGTACTTGTCACACCTAATGTGGTACAAATAATACCATTACTGATATTTCCAGCACAGTTAAGTCTTGTGCAAAACAGGTGTGCTCAAACTTGCTGTCTGTCAAACATCCAAATCTAAATGCCTTACATTTCCCCCAGATATTTTGTGACTTGAAAAAGCCCACTGTGTGGGCGAAACGTTGTCAATAAAGGATCACATTAAGCTGCATATGTTTCCATTGTGTCGGTATTTTATACCATTTATTTTCATATCAATAACCTGTCAAATTCCACACACCTCAAACCATTAATTACTGTTTGGTGACAACACTATTATCTTCTTAGGTCCTGACCTTTTTGCCTTAAATGAAATAAACTAAAAACATGCACTCATGAATGACAGCCAACAAACTCGCACTTAATTTAGAAATGATTGGTAAAAAAACATCCAACCTAATCAACATCAAAAACCTAAAATCTACAGAAATAATCAATAATAAAATTCAATACTCGTTATCCAACATACTGCAACAAAAAATATAAAAAACTGTGAGCATACTCTCAGTGTACCCACCTACCTCTCAAGGGAGGTTCCTTGATGCTTGTAAGAGGCTCTTGAATCAAATCTAAATGCCTTACATTTCCCAAAGATATTTTGTGACCCCTTATCGTTTCAGCACTCCCTCATGAATGTAATATGTAATTGCAAATGATATCTGTTCATTTGGATCAACAATTCCAAATCATCTTAAACCAATCATCATATACCAAAAGCCAGCCAACATATTATTATTATTATCAAAAAGAAGCGCTAAGCCACAAGGGCTATACAGCGCTGCAGGGCAGGAAGGAAGCGAGGGCATCAGGTGGCAAAAGGGAGGTGGATGAGTAATAGGTTACGGATAACAGCGGAGAAGTGGATGGTGAAAGGGTAAAGGGCAGCAAGAGACTGAGCTAGAAAGGGCTGAGGGGAGTGCGTAAGGTATCATCATCAGAGTTTGTGGAGTAAATCAGTCGTTGTCAAGAAGTCAATGAGAGAGTCAGGATTAAAGGAGGGTCCATCAGCAAGAAGGGAAGGTAAAGAGAGAGAGTAGTAGAACGAAGACGGCGTTGGAGGTAAATTCTGCGTGCTCGTTGATACAGAGGGCAGTCTAACAGAATGTGGCTAATCGATACTGGAGCTTGACACTGCTCACAAGAGAGGTACAGGGTGCCTCTCCATGAGATACCCGTGAGTAAGACGAGTGTGGCCAATGCGAAGACGGGAGAGAGTGGTCTCCCAACCATGGCACTGATGACAAGAAGACGGCCAGTAACCTATGCTCGGTTTAATAGAATGAAGTTTGTTACCAAGCAGAGTTGACCAACGTTGTTGCCAACGGGCGTGAAGGTGGGTAGCTATTGCAGCAAAATAGTCCAGAAATGGAACACCTCTATAGGAAAGTGGTAGGTCATGTACTGCTGACCGCAGAGCAGTGTCTGCCTGTTCATTGCCCTGTACGTCGACATGACCAGGGACCCAACAAAAAATAATATCTTTATGCTTGGTAGAGATACGGCATAGCCAAAGTTGGATATGGAGAACTAGGGGGTGAATGTATCAAATTTTCGTATAGCCTGTAGAGCACTAAGGGAGTCTGAGACTACCACAAATGATGACACAGGCATAGATGCGATACGAATAAGTGCTGCAAGAATGGCATACAGTTCAGCAGTAAAAATGCTAGCCGAAGATAGTAAATGCCCCCGCACGACGCTGTCCGGAAACACTGCTGTGAATCCGACGCCGTCTGAAGACTTAGAGCCATCTGTGTACACAGCGGTGGCATGAGAATGGGAGTGGAAGTGATCAAGAAAAAGAGCGGGAAGCCACCGTACGCAGTTGAGCTTTCGAGCAAGGGAGTGAGAAAGAACAGACCCAAACAGCTGGAACTTCCCAGGGGGGTAGGGAAAAGTGAGATGCTACATGAACACATAAAGGTGGTAACTGAAGGGAAGACAAGAGTGAATGTAGGCGAAGAGAAAAGGGACGGAGCAAACAGGGGTGGCGAACGAATAAAGAATGTCTACTAATATCGGTGACCATTCTATAAATGGAAGGATTGTGGAGGCAATGGGCATCACGGTGATCAGACAAGGATGGAACATTCGCTTCTGCATAGAGGCTCTCAACAGGGGAAGAGCGAAAAGCACCAAGGCACAAACGTAATCCTTGGTGATGGATAGGGTTAAGGCTAGAGAGAGTAGCAGGAGAGGCCGCTGAATAAATCTGGTCACCATAATCAAGTTTCGATATTATTATTATTATAATCAAAAAGAAGCGCTAAGCCACAAGGGCTATACAGCGCTGCAGGGTAGGGAAGGAAGCGAGGGTATTGGATGGCAGAAGGGAGGAGGGATGATCAGCAGGTTACAGAAAACAGCGGGGCAGGGGATAGTACGGGGGTGGAGGGTAGCAAGAGATTGAAGTAGAAAGGGCTGAAGGTATCAGAATTTGTGAAGTAAGTCAGTTGTTGTCAAAAAGTCAATGAGAGAGTCCGGATGAAAGGTGGGTCCATCAGCGAGAAGGGATGGTAAAGAGAGAGTAGCGGAGCGAAGACGACGACAGAGGTAAATTCTGCGTGCTCGTTGATAAAGTGGGCAGTCCAACAGAATGTGGCTGACTGATAATGGAGCTTGGCAATTCTCACAGAGGAGCAGGACGCCTCTCCATGAGTAAGACGAGTATGGCCAATGCGAAGACAGGAGAGAGTAGTCTCCCAACCTCGACACTGGTGATAAGAAGACGGCCAGTAACCTATACTCGGTTTAATAGATTGAAGTTTGTTGCCGAGCATAGTAGACCAACGTTGTTGCCAACGGGTGTGAAGGTGGGAAGATATTGCAGCAAAATAGTCCGTAAATGGAATACCTCTATAAGAAACTGGTAGGTCATGTACTGCTGACCGCGCAGCAGTGTCTGCCTGTTCATTGCCCCAGGGACCCAACAAAAAACAATATCTTTATGCTTGGTAAAGATGCGGCGTAGCCAAAGTTGGATACGGAGGACTAAGGGGTGAGGTGTATCAAATTTTTGTATAGCCTGTAAAGCACTAAGGGAGTCTGAGACAACCACAAATGATGAAACAGGCATAGATGCAATACGGGTAAGTGCTGTAAGGATGGCATACAATTCAGCAGTAAAAATACTAGCCGAAGATAGTAAATGCCCTTGTACGACGCTGTCCGGAAACACTGCTGCGAATCCTACGCCGTCAGAAGACTTAGAGCCATCTGTGTACACGGCAATGGCATGAGAATGAGAGTGAAAGTGGTCAAGAAAAATAGGGCGGGAAGCGACCGTAGACAGTTGGGCTTTCGAGCAAGGGAGGGAGAAAGAACAGACTCTAACAGCTGGAACTTCCCAGGGGGGTAGGGAAAAGTGAGATGCTACATGTACATAGAAAGGTGGTAGTTGAAGAGAAGACAAGAGCAAATGAAGGCGAAGAGAGAAGGGATGGAGTAAACAGGGGCGGTGAACAAATAAAGAATGTCTACTAATATCAGTGACCATTCTATAAATGGAAGGATTGCGGAGATCATGAGAGTGTACATAGTAGCGCAGGCAATGGGCATCACAGCGATCGGATAAGGATGGAACGTTCGCTTCTGCATAGAGGCTCTCGACAGGGAAAGAGCGAAAAGCACCAAGGCATAAACGTAATCCTTGGTGATGAATGGGGTTAAGGCTAGAGAGAGAGTAGCAGGAGATGCCGCGGAATAAATCTGGTCACCATAATCAAGTTTCGATAAAATAAGGGTGGAATGTAGGCGGAGGAGGGTTCGACGATCAGCTCCCCATGAAAGATGAGCAAGGGTTTTAAGAAGGTTCAGCCGGCTGTGACAAGTTGCCTTCAGAGAGGTAATGTGAGGTTTCCAGGATAACCTACGGTCAAAGAGAAGGCCTAGAAACCTCACTGTATCACGTTCGGGGATACGGGAGCCATAGAGATACAAAGGATGATCGGAGATGACAGAGCGTCTAGTGAAAGTAATTTGGCGAGTTTTGGTACTTGAAAATTTAAACCCATGCATGGTGGCCCAAGTGGAAACACGGTCGACCGCATGCTGGAGAGAAACTGCAATGAGATGACAGTCAGCGCCTGCACAAGCAATAGCGAAGTCATCAACATAGAGTGATGACCAAATATTGGGTGGAAGAACAAAGGTCAAATCATTTATAGCAAGGAGAAAAAGTGTTGTGCTTAGAACACATCTCTGAGGGACACCTTCAGCTTGGACGAAGTCCGGGGAAAGAACATTATTGACTCGAACACGGAAATGTCTGTCAGTTAAAAGGTTCTTAAGGAAGGATGGTAGATTGCCTCAGAGGCCTAAGGAGTGGGCCTGGGCCAAAATATTATACCTCCA